ATTAATTTACTTCTTATACCTGAAAATTTTGTGGAAATGTGACCCTATTCCCTGGGATAACATAAAATCTCTGAAAAGGTAGCGTAAGACACTTCTCTGTCACCTTAATTCTCAAGGGATCATTGGAGTTAACTATTACAAATAACTTAAGGATAGCACATTTCCTTTCATATAACTCTGCTTTCAAGCAAATGCAACAAGTATGTACTTACTTATTAATACAACCAGCAAAGCAATATTACCCACTTTCTGGGAGTCCCTATTCATATGTCTAAGGACTATATACACAAAATACTCAACAATACAAGACCATGTTAATAAGTATCAATTTAAATGAGGAAGGCAGTAAATGCCACCATTTTATTGTAGAAAAGAAATTAGCAAAGATAAGGAGTCTAGTGGTTACAAAAAGAAAAGAGAAATGTTTGTTCATGTAAGGAACTAACTAAGCGGGTCTAAATTTGCTTCACTGTAGCTACTAACCCAGTACCTGTAGCCACAAACCTAAAGTGACTTCAGAAAGACATTATCTGAAATTCAGTTCTCTCACCCATAAAAATACTATTGCATTGCAAAAAATAATTGACAGAATAAACGAAAATGAGGACCAAGTTCAATATTTAGTTTTTGAGAAATGCTTATGACAATGATAAAGGACAATACTCCAGAAGTATCCTTGATAAATGCAAAGATATGTACTAACTACATAAGCTTCAGCCAAAAGACACAACCTTTTGAAGTTTATTTATTTAGTTCTTCCATAAGAGAGAGACAGCAAATAAGGAGGCACCCCCAACAGGGTCTTCATGCAAAACTTCACCTCCAGTCCACCAGGATCACAAGCACATGCAAGCCCTGGAGTATACAGGGATATGGTGGGATGCAAATTTAGGATTTTCCCATGTGTTCCCAGCATCACAGAGCATTGCGCCACTGTGGCTGACCCAAAAGACACCACTTTTTAAAAGAAAAAATAGCAAATCAAAACAATAAGTACGTATGATGCCCGTAACCAATGAATATAAAATATCTTACAAATACCAATTAAAATCTGTAACTGCTGCACCAGAGTTAAAAAACATATACGCAGCAAAAATTACTCTAAGGTTCTACTTGAAACAACTAGCCAGAGTTATACCAAACCAGCAACAAAGCTAGAACAAACCAAAAAGCCTTCACTGCAGTTAACTATTAGGCTTACATAATACAGCATCTTTCTTCATGAAATATAAATTTCTCAAAATGCCTGGCATACAGCAACTAGGATTCACTACAGCTAAGCATTTTTAGGGGAGTAGGCTTGCTTTTTCTTTCCAGAATTCACCTTGGATACCATCAGTTTTATTTTAAATAGAGCAACTTAATAAGTAAAAGAATAACCACTGTATTGCAGAAGGTGAGAATAGTGGCAAAGAATTTCAAATTCAAACTTAGCTATTTCTTTCTAAAGTATATAAAAAAAAGAAGTTACCTGTCATAAAGAAGTATTTTCATAATAGACTTAGAGGCAAGTAAAAATCTTTTAGGACCACTAACAGACTTGGTCTGCTAGAGCCTCAAGTCCCTTTGGCAAAAAGAGTGCATGACTCACTGCTTTAGAACTCAATGGGAAGAATTAGAAAATGTACTGTGCCCTAAGATTTTGCATTGGGTTTATTTTTTTTAAGACATCTCCATCTTAATGTCGACAACGTCTATAGTTTCTATGGCTTCTTTATGAAACTGACAAATTGTGAATATATGAACAGCATGTAAACAAAAAGTAAGGTCTTATACTTTCCTGGATCCTTAAAATATAAGCCATTAAGTAAAGTCACTTATACAGGTACATAAATAAAACCTATTGTGTAGTATATATACAAGAAGGGAACATTTACATTCTTTTAAGAAAATAAATTATAGACAATGAAACAAAGATGTTCAGGTAGAAAACCAAAAATTACAAAATACTTAAATTTTCTATCCAAGAAACATCTCCAATCTTTTTTACATCTACGGATATATTTTATCTGAAAAAACAGATACGAAATAAGTCTACTAAAAAGTTGTATTATATTATATTCATCCTAAGATCATAAAACATTTTATAAATACAGTATTATGGAAGAATTTTAAAAAATTGATCTCCAAATTAAAAGATTCTGCCACATGTATCAGAAACATAAACATCTTTGGAACTAAGTTCTCTTATTTAAGCCAAATTATCCTAAGCTCCTGATCAACAACAAATCTACAAAAAAAAAAAAAAAAAAAAAAAAAAAATCACCACTCTTACTGAGCTTTTAAACCTACTAATAGTAGAAATGGATCTATGTCAGTCACATAGTAAATTATCATTCCCAACCTTCCTCATTCTTCATATTAACCCTTCTACTTTCTAATCATGTTAAAAGAACAAAAAGGTAAAAAAACATATCACACACACTGACAAGCATTCATGATGTTCATCAAAATCACATTACCAGAACTAGAAATTCTTTTGAAGATGTCTACTCATGTGAATGCGTGATATAGACATTAAAGTGACCTACACTCTCTTACCGTAGTATCTCACAAAAAGGTCCCTTTCAAGGGGCAACATGGAGGAAAGGTCTATAATATAAAGAACCTTTAAAGCAAATGATCTTATCCTTTTTTCCTCATCTTTGATGCTCACTATTTTTAAATCACAAATTTTACTGTTTTAATGCAAACTAAAACATCTGTAGTATTCTTATTAATTTCTGCAGTATACCTACTATTTCCTGCCAAATATTTCTGGCATTCATTAATTTATATTAACTTGACTAGAACAATAAGAACATTAACAAGAATATATGTATATGAGGTACATGTGTATCTATCTTTTTATACACACACACACACACACACACACACAAATAGACAATAAGTCTGCTTTAGAGGGATACTGTTTTTAATTCAATCATTCAATGTCCATCTTACAAAAAATGGTGGAAAACATGAGATTTACTACAGAGAAATTCCTTTGTTGCAGCAATAATTAGTATCAAATAACCTTACAAAACATAAGCAAGAGGAAAACGCTATGAAAGGGCAATCTAGCATTTCACAGCTTCTGCTCCCTTACTCCACCCAGTCTTCCCGGCTCAATGGCTGTTCACAGCATCCACGAATATTAGCCAATTTTTTTTAAAGGAGGTGGAAAAGAGGTACCACAGTTGGGCTTCCTTCTTCAAAAGGAACATATACAGAAATATTTTAGTAAAAATTTGGGTTCCCTTTCTGATTTTTAGAAAATATACCAGTTTTATTTAAATTTGTTTTACGAGATACTCCCTATCTGAACAATCCAAACAATGATCATTTATAATAGAACCTGAAAAAATAAATTATCCTAAATACAGATTACTCTTTTGCCTTCTTTAATAAAAACTGCAATTTGCAACTGCCAATTATTTTATGAAACTGTGTCCTGAAAGACATCTATTGGAGATTAAAAGCTAGCCTTAACCATAATTTTTTAAGTAAAATAGTCAATGTTCTATCATTGCAGACATACCCAAGAAGGAAATCTTACTGATTAAGAAATTGGACCATACAGCAATCAAGCCCTGCTGCAGTAAAACAAAAAATTTAGGCAAACACTACTGTGGTAAAAGGGGAGGGATGACATTATTACTGGTATGAAAGGCCCAAGCACTGTCCTCCGCCCTAGCCTCAAAAAGAAATTCACACAAAACAACCCGCCCCCAAACAAATATAGAATTGCCGAAATGGCATACATTCTTGTTTAGCCTTTAGAACGTTATGAATATCAAGGATTGTGCGCTTAAGTAGAGGTGAGAATACCAGTATCTTTATTTTCTCCCGACCTCCTCTTCTGCAAAGGGGGGGGGGGGGACTTTGGCATGACATCGCCCATCAAGAACGAGACCACAGATCTGGTCCTTCTCCTCAAAAACACAATTTCTTCACCAAAGGATTGATATGAACTGAGCACAAACTCCAACCTCAAAACAAAATTCCCTGCCTTCCTTCCAAGGAGTTTCTTGCTAAGTCACTGAAGAAAGGCAGAATAACAAAACCAAGGCACCTTGCTCTCTTATCTCACACCCTGAAAATCTCTCTACTGTTATGTTTAAAGAGACAGAGCCTAGATATGTCCACCATCTCACAGGCATTTTCTCACCTAGGAGGCTAAAGAGGGTAAATACATGCAAGCACTGCGTTTCCTAAAGGAGTGCGGAGATTAGACTAGGCGGGAGGAATGGCAGAGGGCCTTGAAGCTCAGTGTTAACGTCAAAAGGCAACTCCCGTTCCAGGAGCCGGTGGCAGAAAGGAAAACCCTGCCTAGGTCGGTGGGAGGACGCTGCAGATGGTTCGGTGGGTCCGGCCGCTCCTCAGTGGGTGCAGAGGCTGGACCACCGCACTAGGGTCCAGGGAGGCGGTGGGCCATCCTCTTCAGGTCAACCCCATCCTAAGGACAGGTGGGGGACGGAACGCCTGGCAGGCCCCGTGGGTGCCGAGGCGACGCGGGGCTGAACTCGGCCCCTGAGCCACCAGCGCGGGTGGGGTGGGGACTGCAGAGTTCGCCTCCGCGGCCGGGGAGAGGAGGAGGGCCGAGCTCTTTTCCCAAGATCAGAGAACGACCTGCTCCCCACGCCCTTCCTACCCAAGAATACTTTTCTTGCTAAGTCACCAAGGGAGGAGGGCGATCCCTTCTCCGCGACGGCCGCGGGTGGAGTCGCGGCGGCCCGAGCACCCTCGGAACCCCGGCCAGGGCGCAGGGGAGCGAGGGCAGCGCCCTCCCCGGCCAATCCCCCCTCCTCCCGTGTCTCTCACTCAACGGCCGTCGCCGCGCGCCCCCGCCATTTTGAGAGCGAGGAGAGAAGAAGAAGGAGGAGGCAGCGGCAGGGGGAGGGGAGAATGGGAGGGAGGGGACCGGCGCAGCCACATCGTCAGGCCGCCGGGCCCGGCCCGCAGCAGCCCGAGCGCGGTGGAAGAGACAGAGGGGAGGGCGTAGACCTTTGCCGCCTTACCGGAGCGCTGCCCCGCCGCCTCCGCAGGGCCTCTTCCGTCCTTCACTCCCATCCACCGGCAGGGGAGGGGGGAGGGAGAGGGAAGGGAGGAAGGAGGGAGGGAGGGAAGGAGGGAGGGGGAGGATGGCGCGCTGGGCC